TTCGATAATGTTTTTTAATTATTTTTAAATTAATAGAGTAGGAGGTTGGCTAAATAGTATAGCCGCGCGGCTATAATCTGTAAATATAATATATTTAAATAGTAACTCTCCTAATATATTCAACTATTTAAATAGTATAGCCGCCCGGCTATAATGTTTAAATATATTCGAAATTTTTTTTTTAAATTTATTTATTCAAATGTACCTATTTTATTTTTATTTGTAATTAAGTAATATGTTAGTCTTATTTAATCACTTCAATTAGTAATTAGTTTTTAATTATTATTTATTTAGTGAATAATTCATATTTTAATATTTTAATTAATTTCAGAAATTACTTAACAACGTTTTATTTCTAGTTGCCATTCGTAAAATCCCCGCTGTGGGAAAATCCATCTTGTGAATTAGCAGTTCCAATTTTTCTTACCGAACCCTACGTCTCAGGTCCTCCATGGACTAATTAGAAGTTAGAACCATGAACCAAGTTGAAGCATTCAGTGGGCCAAACTCAAGTGTCCATCCTATCAGAAAAAATTGTGCTGGTAGTGATAGGCTTCGGCATGTACAGGGATTCCCTTTGAAGCTGTTAGGTCTCTTCTTTTTCTGGACCTTGTTCCTCTGTTCGTCTGCTAGGCCTTCGCTAGGTTGTTCTACATTGGGCTGTTTCAGACTGTTCATTGTGTTGTGTGTTGTGCACCTGTGTTTTTTGTTGTTGTAATATTTAGACAGAGGGAGAGTACTAATGGCTCTCTTTTGGCAGGAAATTTCTGCTCACACCATCCACATTTTGTGTTTCCAAACAAAAGAAAGCAGAAAATGTTATGCTTCCAATCAAGGTGGTGGTATTGGTAGGTTGTAACTTGTAATTCTTGTATGAATGACTCATGCGCATTTTGCAGTTAGTTGCGATCTACACTAATTTTGTAGATTAATATTGTCAAAAATAATTATTTATAATGATAACATCAAATGAGATGTCGACCTTGTATTATTACACAAATTATTCACCCGAATTGGTGAAAGAAAATGTACAAATTCTATACAAGGGCCAAGGGTCACCGTCCAAGGCATGTTACAGTTAACCCCATGCAAACGAAAAATCTGTGTGGTATCAAAATAGTTAAATGTATGACGTTCCCACTATGCATTATATGTGAACTGTCTAACTAGAAGTATAACTTACTTTATAGAACTTATCTTTCTATTGAGAGATCTCTCAAATAATTATTTGAAGAACACCCTTTAGGATCTTCTGCAAAAAAAAATTTAACGATCTAAATAATCTATTTTTTAAGTTTACATTCATAGATCATCCTTGCAAAAAAGTAGACAAATCAGAAACCATTTCGACATCCAATTGTATCCTACAAAATCATTGAACACGGTGTTTTAAGAAAGTACTAAAATTTCAATAACTCAATTGAGTTGTCCAATAATATCGGATTCAAATGATTTTTTATAGAGAGGATTTTTGAATAATTATCTAAAAAATATATTATTTGAACTAGCGAAATACAATGTAAAATGAGTCCTATAAAAATGTCCATCAAATAAACTTATTTAAAGGATTCTTTAATGGAAGTTCTGATCTCTAATGCGGATGTCCTTATTTTACTAATGTACGGACAACTTTTTTGTGTGCATTCTTTATGCTAATAAAATCAACTCAGACACTTTTCTCACTTTTAGTTTCCTAGTATTAGTACAATAGAAAACAGGCTCTGGCAATACCAAAATGTCAAGCAACACCTTTTGATTTGGCTTTTCTTCATTGGTGCCTTGTAGATAGAACTTGGGGGCTGTTTATATGCTTTAGTGCCTTTTTCTAATGATAATAATATGGAAAAGAAGAGGGTTACACAAAACAAAATGGAAATGGCTTCCTTTTCATTGAATGAATAAATTCATTCTTATCATGGAAAAAAACAAAATAAGTCTGGACAATAAGTTGTATTCGGACGTTCGCACTTAAGAATATCCTTATACAGAGAGCTTCAATTGGAAGATCCCTCAGGGATACCTTTGAATGCAGGGGTAGAGCCACTTTGGGACCAGTGCAGTCCCAGACCCCACGTAGTTTTTATTATAAAAAAAGTAAAAAGAAAAAAGTAGTATGCTATTCTTGGATAATCCATATTAATTAACATATTTATTTTACCACGTGGAGCCCTATCCATCCAAACCTATGTTTCCACCAAGACTACTGTTTGGGCCTAAATTAAACGCGCCTAGATCAACACGGATTGGGCCCAGAATAAAAGCTACAAGACTCAAGCAGTTTTTTTGTAAAACGGAAGGCAAAACCCAAAAATCAGAGAGGCCCAACCCAAGACTCATCAAAACGTGGCAGGCAAACTTGGGCCCCAAAAGAAAAACAGTCGCCTTTGGGCTCCAGACAAAACAGAATGGGCCCAGCATAATTAAAAGAAAAGGAAGAGACCAATTTTCAGAACCCACGTGAAACCCACGTGACACCTTTCTTCTCAGACTTTGAAAAGTCAACAAAATCAACTATCACATAGTTGATTAGAGGGGGTTGGTAGCTGGCAAACTGGGAAGAGACATCTCTGAAAATCAGAAGATCAAACCCCTCTTAACATATATATATATATATATTCAGAGATATTTCTTCTATTCAGAGAAGGTGATTTTTTTTTTTAGAGATAAGCAAACTTCAATCTCAGAGAGAGATAAGCAGGAAAGTAGGGAGTTGTTCAAACTAAGGAAATCAAACTAATCATCACGGTTGAAATCTCACAATGGGCAGTTAAATTGGGAAAATAGATTAGGTTTTCTTTTAAAGAAAAACAGAGAAGTGATTTTAAAGACCTGATTGATGAAAGCCTATCTGACAGAATTAATTAGAACCCTTTCCTCTCTTGTTTTTCTTTTTAGATCTTTTTACAAGGATTTGCCGCCCATTATTTTAAGAAAGAAACCTTACTCCTAAACATTTCTTATAAATGTAAGAGGGAGTGAATATGACAAAAAAACAATCAATTCATCAATAAATAAATAAAAACTCAAAATCAACCAAAAGCTCACTTGAACTCCAAGAGAAACCATCTTTAGATCAAGAATTCCCAAAGTTCAGACTTAGAAAATAAGTCATTCAAAACGAGATCTCTCTCGTTACAAATTTGGTTTAGCAAAAGCCAAGACAATCAGAGTTTGAGTTTTTTCACAAATATGAAAACCTCAACAAATTTTACAGTGCAGTTTTAACTCATTAAGTCCCCAAGACCAGCCACTTCTGCCCCTTCAGACTGAAGAAGTTGCAGTTTTGCCCGCTCAAAAGCTTCTCAAAAAACTTGAAATAGATTAAAGCTCTGCTCAAATTGAACTTTGGTATCGATTTGCAGCTGAAGCTTAGCAGTTGAAGTTGTTAATAGTCTAGTCCATCCCAGATATATCTAGTCCAGCCCGGATCAGAGTCTTCTATCCAGGCGGAAATAGAGTTCCAGTTGTCTATTTGTCTTTCTAAGTGTTGATATGTATATTTACAGTTTTGTAAAAATCAGTTTTGCCTAAAACCAATCCAATTTCTATCAACTATTCTGGCCAGAACAATTGTTTTATACTGAGATAAATTGTGAAAGTCCTCACCAGTCTGAGGCAAGAAAAGAACTTACTTGAGAGATATTCCTCTCCCAAATTCACAATCGCTTAGCTTAGAAATCAGTAACTTGGGGCGCAAGTTATCTTTTTTAGAAGAAGTCTGCTAGAATCTTTATTGCTAGCAGTGACACGCTCATACACCGAAGAAAGCTGACTTGTTGATCAGTCAATGGTTTTCAGGGCAATGGGAAACTTTGCCCTTCCATCTCAGGAGTAAACACAAAACGGGTGAACAACTACATCTTCTTCTGCAAACCCATTCCCAAAAGTTTTAAGAAAACTATTATTATTATATTACCTTTTAACACAAATATTAATTTGTACACAAATTGCTAAAAAGCAAAGAGATTTGAATTTATGTTTCTATTTTCTTGACGGGAACAAAGTTTCTCATTGTTTGTGAGTTTTTCTCTCAAATTCAATATTATATTATCAAGTTTTAAAACTAGGTTAATTCATAGATGAATGATTACTAGGTTGCATATATTGAGAAAAACATTTTTAATAGTATAGATGATGTGGTTGTCAAAATATGAAAACTTGTCAAGGACAATTATGAATTGTAATGAATCTTTTTTTTTTGGGGTCAAAATTATAATTGTAATGAATAGACAATATTATTTTTGATGTTTTGGTATGTCTTGAGTTCGAATTTTTTATTGTTTATATTTTCTGAGAGGCTCCCGCACACATAAAATCTTAGCTTCACCACTGTTTGTATGGCCTACTCCACATTGACTTGTTCGTGAAATTCCATTATTTGATCAATTATTTCAAGCAAAATAATCTGAAGTAGGTAGCACATCGTCATGTAAAGATTGTCAACTATCCAAGGGACTAGGAAGGTCCCAATGGTCAGACTAAAAAAGAACGAAGAAGGAAGGTCCCAACCCAATTTTCTTATAAAACTATTAAAAATCCCTTAAAAAACCACCATACAAGTTGGAGCCATCTGTCCTTTTTATAAAAACAAAATGTCAAATTTTACTTTTAGTCCTTATAACAAAATATATCACTACTATACGTATAATAAAGACAAGCCCAAAGTAGTTGGTGTCGCATACTTTACTTCAAAAAATATTATACAACTTTTAATCAAGTTAATTAGAGCTGATGTGTTTTCTGAACTGCACCATAATTCGAATTTCCTTCTTTGTAATATCATATCGTCTGTATATAAAAAAATATCAATCGACCTAAAATTTATGTTTAAAATTCAGATCCGTATAAAATACTATAATGTCACGTGTCGATCTAAAACAGGCCCAGCCTACATCTTCTTGCCTACAGCTACCATGTAATCGTGTTACGGTGTTACTGTCGGAGGATCCAACTCATCCACTAAATTACTGCACAAAACAAGGGCCACGTGTCCATTGAGCAATGACTAATATAGTAGCTCCTCTCTACTCTCTTCTTTCTAGTTACACTGTCTCTTTGGTTGTCTCTTCACTTGCTCACTGTCTCCTTTGATCAGCCTCTCAATTCTGGTCAACTTATGACGATCTCGTCCTTCTTCACCAGAGCTTCAAGAGCTTTCAATGACCACCCTGTTGCCTCCAAGCTTCTGGTGCTCTGTACTCTCAGGTTCTCAGTTCTCTACTTTCCCCTGTTTCAGTGATTCGTTTTCCTCCTCGATTCTTGTTTACCCATGTTAACTTTTTCTTTCTTGTTTCGATCTGTTTGGCTTCTGAGAAAAATGTAGGACTAGAAAATGAGATGGCAAGCTTGAATTTCATTTTTTTTCTTCCCTAGGATATAATGACATTCTTTTTTAAGTTTTGGTTGTATTTGAATTAGTTCAAGTATCGTTTTTTCTATTTCCCATGAAAGCAAAATGGCATAATCCATAAACTCTGAATCCAAATTTTTCTATGAACGTCAGTTTTCTTAGCCACACACCAGAGACTTAGCCCTTGTTTGGTCACTGAGAAAATGGAATTAGAGAAAATATATTAATTGTAAATGTTTAACTTATTTGATTCGTTTCATGTGATCTTTCACTGTGGCAAAGAACCCGTACCCCTCACGTTATTCCTTCGCTTGCTTAGTCTGTAGGCTAGGATTACACTGAATGTACATATTCCAAGTAACGTGATATAGATCTACTAATAAAAGGGCTAGTTGAAGAGGTACACTAGTTTATTATTTTTAATTTTTTAATTTGTTTTTAAACTGTTACTTTTTTTTCATAGTTAACACCAAAATAAACTTTTTTGTAAGTAGACAGTAGCTTTTCTTGCCTCAATGTAATAGACAAGCAAATATATACAAAATATTGATCACATTTTCTGTTTGGGTTTTTTTTGGATGATTGCAGTAGTGGAGGTCTCCTGGCGTATGCAGAATCACAGTCAAACATTGGTTCTCCTAGTGTTGTTGATGATAAACCAGATGAGTCCAGGCAGAAGAGAGTGGTGGTGCTTGGGACAGGATGGGCTGGTACTAGTTTCCTCAAGTATCTTGATGCTTCAGCTTATGATGTTCAGGTTGTTTCACCCCGGAATTATTTCGCGTTTACCCCTTTGTTACCTAGTGTCACATGTGGGACGGTTGAAGCTCGAAGCATAGTAGAACCAGTTCGAAATATTATAAAGAAGGTAAGCGACTCATTCAAAAGTTGCTGGAATTCTTTATGTGTTTATATATTAGTTGCATGGAAAGATTGATCACATACAAATGTATATTAGTATATGTTGCAGGAATTCGTTGGCATTATGTTCGCAAGTTCCAAACTGTAAGCCAGAAATTAATGTTCACAAGTTACTTCTATTTCATGGCAGAGAAATGGAGAGATCAAATTTTGCGAGGCAGAATGTGTCAAGATTGATGCTACAAATAAAAGTGTTGTCTTGCGGGCTAATTTTGGCACCAACTTGGTGGGAAATGATGAATTTTCCCTTGAATATGACTACTTGATCATAGCTATAGGAGCACAAGTAAACACTTTTAACACTCCTGGTGTAAAGGAGAACTGTCATTTTCTGAAGGCAAGTGAGTTTATTTTTATGCAAGTGGAGCAAAGCAGCATTTAATCATATTTATGCCTTAAATTAGGTTGCTTGTTCAATTTTCTTAAATGAACTTGTGTATCTTAAAGTCTGTCAAGAAAACTGCTCTTAGTCTTCTTTCATAAGGTGGTGATAGGAAATTTTCTAATGAAGCATATTTGACTTCACATGCAGGAAGTAGAAGATGCTCAAAAGATACGTACGAGTGTGATAGATTGCTTTGAAATGGCTGTACTTCCAGGTCTAAGTGAAGAAGAGCGGAGGAGAAATCTTCATTTTGTAGTTGTTGGAGGGGGTCCTACTGGTGTGGAATTTGCTGCAGAGCTGCATGATTATTTCCAAGAGGATTTAGTCAAGTTATATCCTATGGTTAAGGATCTTGTGAAAATAACAGTGATCCAATCGGGAGATCACATCTTGAACATGTAAGAAAGATGCATCATGTTTTATCTTATTGATTGCTTTTTGGAATCATTTGAATGATAAACCCATTTTAGCTTGATTCCACACTTCATTTATGTGAAGTTTCAGCAACTTGTTTCTGTAATATTGAAGTATGGGACCAATGAACTTATACCAATCACGGAAGCTCACCTTCCATGATTTGAAACTTTTCTTATTTCAAAAAGTGAATAGGCAAGTTCACTTCAAGGAACTCATTAAAATTTCGTATCCTCTCTGTAGGTTTGATGACAGAATTAGTTCGTTTGCTGAGAAGAAGTTTAACAGAGATGGTATTGATGTTCAGACAGGATGTCGGGTTGTCAGTGTTTCTGATAAGGAAATCACAATGAAGGTGAAATCCAAGGGTGAGGTCTGCTCTGTGCCACATGGGTTGGTTGTGTGGTCTACTGGTATTGGGACTCGTCCAGTTGTGAGTGACTTTATGAAACAAATTGGGCAGGTTTGTTTCATAATTTTAATGCCATCCAAAGCCTGAGAAATATAGAATTTACATTATTATCGACTGGTCTTGTCGAATTGATGGTTTTCACAATCTGCTTGGGCTAATATGGATGCTACATGGGTGACATGCTCAGTCAAATCATAATTTATATTCTGCTCCATGTGCAGGCTGATAAACGTGTTCTAGTGACTGATGAATGGCTGCGTGTAAAGGGTTGTGAAGATGTGTATGCCATTGGCGATTGTGCTTCAATTACTCAACGTAAAATCATGGTATGCAAAACCTTTACCTCTTTTGTATTCATCATTAGAATTTTCGTAAGTGCTGGAAGCCTAGATTTATTATGGTGTAGTATGTTGGAGAGCTTCTTGAAGTCAAAATATATTGTATATTTAGTGTTTGTTTCTTATATTTGAAGTAGTTTTTCACACATCATTGCTAAAACTGGTATCCATCTTGTCACCTTTAGGAAGATATCTCTGCCATATTTAAAGCTGCGGACAAAGATAACTCTGGTACCTTAACAGTTGGTGAATTTCAAGATATAATTGACGACATCATCATAAGGTACCCCCAAATGGAGCTCTATTTAAGGAGCCAGCATGTGCAGGATTTGAAGGACCTATTGAAAGATCCTGAGGGTAATGATAGGACGGAAGTGAACATTGAAGAATTTAAATTAGCCCTTGCTCAAGTGGATTCACAGATGAAGAGTCTGCCTGCAACTGCACAGGTATGTGTCTTTTATCTTGTAGTTGGAGTAAACTGGTTACTTTTAGTTACGAGGTATGATTTCATGCCGTCCAACTATAAGAAAGGGACCCTCAGTTTCTACTCTTTTGGCATTCAGGTTGCTGCTCAGCAGGGAGCATATCTTTCTAGGTGCTTTAACCGGAGAGAGCAGAGCAAAGAGAATCCTGAAGGTCCTAGACGTTTTAAAAGTTCTGGGCATCATGACTTTCGTCCCTTCCGGTATGCAATATACTTTAGGCTCGTCTCACTTGCACCCTTTATTATTTAAAAATGGGAATGAAAATTTCAATAGTTCCATAACTGCCTTTTTATTTGTCATTCTAAATTGCTAGCAAAATCTCACTTTGATACACAATATATACTGTCCAGTTGATTCTGCATATGCCATTTTCTTTCTTTTTCCTTTCCTAACCAATGAGTTACTTGTAACTTGTGAATCACTAGGTACAAGCATTTTGGGCAATTCGCTCCGTTGGGGGGAGAGGAAGCAGCAGCAGAGCTACCTGGAGACTGGGTTTCCATTGGCCATAGCACTCAGTGGCTCTGGTATTCCGTATATGCAAGGTGATCTTAATTTGCTTGCTTCTGGTAAACAAGAGTTATAACATACAGATGCAAGATTGAATCTGATTTGATTCAATGTTTTCCTTATTCAGCAAGCAAGTGAGCTGGCGGACTAGGGTCCTCGTGGTATCTGATTGGACCCGGAGATTTATTTTCGGGAGAGATTCAAGCCGCATTTGAAGAGGGCCAGCATATTTCTGGCACCAGTAAATTATGAGTGTTTGCATCTGCTTCATATGTAAATTCAGAGAGAAATTCCTTTGTAGGCTGTAGAAAAAATTCCTTGTGATGTGATTCATTCATGGCCAAAACATCGAATTTTACTTACTGCAGTGAATATGTTGTTTCTATCAGTTCTTCTGAATGTGTGAAGAAGTGGGATGTTCAAAGCCCATGTGAGTTTGGAGACATTGCGTTTAACTTCTTGACATGCATGAGATAATTTTCAGAGAATTAAAAACTGGAATTTTGATTATTAACCACAACATCCAAACAATATCATAGACTACAACTTAATTTACAACCCTGTCTCCCTGTCTTGGGCTTTTAGAATAAGCACACTTGTCCTACTTTTTCTGGTCTGACTAAGTCAACCTCGGACCCAAAAGAATAGAGTGCCTTCTTTTACGTGACAATTGCACCTTAGGCTTCGGGCCCTGATTTGAAGTAATAACCCTCGCTCACATACCCTTCCATTAGAAATTGTCACCTCAATTTTTGGCAACCAGAACACTGTCTCAATCCAAAATCATATATATTCCGGCATTACACTTTCCTTCCTTTTCTTTTCGAGAAAGAATCAGAATCAGAAACTGGGTTTCACAATGTGGGGACGTTCTTTCTATGAAAGTGCCTCGAGGCTCCTTCGTCAACACCCCTCTCTGTCTAAGCTTCTTGTTGCTGTCACAGTCAGGTTTTTCATTTCTCTTTAACATGCATCTTATATGAGCTTTCAGTAGTTTTGGTTTATCTTTTGAACAGTCAGGTTTCTTTTTTTCGGTTTATGGTCGTTTTCATTAGCGGTTCTAGTGTTATGTGTTTGTGCTGATTATATATGAACATGCACACATTATGCATGCATATGTATGGTTGATTCATGCCCGTATTGTATACGAATCTCTGCATATCTTAATTCTTCCTTGTCTGACTTGCATTGTATATATTGCAGTGGGGGAGGTCTAGCGGCATTTCATGAAACCACACCAGTCCACACTGTATATGCTGATTCAGTTCAGGAAGACCAAATAGCCAAGAAAAAAAAGGTAGTGGTACTTGGAACTGGTTGGGCTGGAGTCAGTTTCTTGAAAAATTTGAAGAGTTCTAATTATGATGTTGAAGTGGTGTCACCCAAAAATTATTTCTTGTTTACTCCTTTGCTACCGAGTGTTACCTGTGGCACAGTGGAAGCACGCAGCATCGTTGAACCAATTCGATGCATTACTAAGAAGGTTAGTATGCGATAAAAGCCTAATTGATATGGTATGATTATTGATTGATGGAGATACTTAGACAATAAGGCTTAATTTTTTTTCATTTGATGATGTGGCAGAAAGGTTTAGAAGTTCAATTTAGGGAAGCAGTATGTCATAAAATCGATCCCAAAAATAAGAAAGTTTACTGTCGATCAACTCAAGACACAAATCTGGGTGGAAAACACGGTGAATTTAGTGTAGATTATGACTACCTGATCATTGCCATGGGAGCTCAATCAAATACATTTAACACCCCTGGTGTGGAGCAATATGCTCATTTCTTGAAGGTATCTTTATTTTTTAATTCTTCCCTTGTTGAAAAGTATGGTATGGAGCAAATGCACATTAATTAAATCTTTTGACTTAAAGCACTCTACTTTCAAAAGGTGAAGAAATAAAATTCATTTTTATGCTGTTGGGTTTTAACTTCTAATTTGTAGGGAATAGAAGATGCTATGAAGATCCGTCAGTCTGTGATTAACTGTTTCGAAAGGGCAAGTCTTCCTTGCGTAAGCGAAGAAGAAAGAAAGAACATTTTGCATTTTGTATGTGTTGGTGGTGGTCCAGCTGGTGTGGAATTTGCTGCAGAGCTTCATGACTTTGTTAAAGAGGATTTAGCCAAGTTATACCCTTCAGTTATAGACTGCGTACAAATTACCGTTATTGAGGCAAGCGATCATATTTTGAACATGTGAGGCCACGAATGCTTCTATATTGGGATTTAAATGATGATGGTGGATTAATCTTGGTAAATATGGCAAGTTAATGGTTGCACTTGGTTTGGTCTTACAGGTTTGACAAGAGAATTACTGCATTTGCTGAACAAAAGTTCTCCAGAGATGGCATTGATGTAAAAACAGGTTCAATGGTTGTAAAAGTAACTGATAAGGAACTCTCCACCAAAGAAAGAGCAACAGGCAAAGTTTCACATCTACCTTATGGGATGGTTCTCTGGGCAACTGGTATTGGGCCACGCCCGGAGGTTATTGATTTTATGAAGCAGATTGGTCAGGTTTGTTGCTAATTTGTGCTTATTTCCAATCATATGGTGCTTGACTTTGGGCTTGAAACTTCAATTAATCAACGTTGTATTTGTTTGAGCACAACAGAGTAACAGGCGTGTTTTGGCTACTGATGAATGGCTGAGGGTGGAAGGATGTGATGGTGTATATGCTTTAGGTGATTGTGCAACAATAAATCAACGCAGGGTCATGGTATATATATTTATTGACAAGCTACCTGTGTATTTTCTATGCATTATAGAGCACTTGTTGAGCAATCATTCATTAGCTATATGAAATTTTGTTACCATTGCATGGCAATCTGTTGTCAGGAAGATATCGTAGAGATATTCAGAAAAGCAGACACGGACAAGTCTGGTACTTTAAACCTTGCGGAATTTCAAGAAATCATGGATGACCTTGTGGAAAGGTATCCTCAGTTGGAACTTCACTTGAAGAGCAAACAGATGAGGAATATTGATGAGTTACTGGAAAAGAGTTGGCAAAATCCGACCGCTGAAGTCGATATTGAAACGTTTAAGTCCGCTCTATCACAAGCAGATTCTCAGATGAAAAATCTTCCTGCAACAGCTCAGGTGAACTACTTAACAGAAATTCTCAGAACCTCTAACTCAGGCATCCTATCACTTAATTAACTTGTCTTTTTTTTCCCCCTTTCCAAATTGTAATATTCTAGGTAGCTGCTCAACAAGGTGCCTACCTTGCCAAATGTTTCAACCGTATGGAGGAGTGTGAGAAGTACCCTGAAGGTCCCCTCAGGTTTAGGGGCGTTGGACGCCACTGTTTTCAACCCTTCAGGTGAAACTTTGTTGCCAATTTCTAGTAAAATATCTTATCTAGCATAGAAACACAAATTTAACATGATATAAGCTGTTATATGTGGTCAATGGTGCAAGACACGCTGATCCATGATCTTAGTATAAATGCTAGAAGATAACTTTTTATATGATTTAACCCAAGGTATAAGCATTTTGGGATGTTTGCTCCTCTGGGAGGAGAACAAACGGCAGCTCATCTTCCAGGAGATTGGGTCTCAATTGGTCACAGCACCCAGTGGCTATGGTACTCAGTATATGCTAGGTAAATTTATGGTATAGATTCGCTTGAACCGGTCATATTCATATCACCATTGTCTGAACATTCTCCCTATATTTGCAGCAAGTTAGTCAGTTGGCGCACAAGGGTGCTGGTGGTATCTGATTGGGGAAGGCGATTTGTATTCGGGAGAGACTCAAGTCGCCTTTGAGACCAGACGGAAGCCTAAGTCACACTAGAACTCTGTTTCCACCACTTTTGTCTTCCAATATTAGGCGGAGCATTGGTTCCATTTCTTTGTCAGTGTCAAACTTGTACTGCGATTGAGATTATGATGTTTTTGTACTGCATAAATGCAAATAACTCGCTTGTTTGTATTCAGCTAGCGGTTGTCTGTTTTGTTTTTACCCTTTGGGGTTGTACAAGTTTAGTGCCTATAGAAAATCAAGTGGACCAAATATAATATTCATCCCAACAGAGTCTCCTCACTCGGGTTTAATTCTGTTTTGCTTTTCTAATTTCTTTCACAATTAGATATAAGTAATTTTTTTAAATACAAGCGATAGTTTAAACTAGAGGGGAGGAAGTTTCTCACACACAAACAACCCATGCTATGGGGGGTTCAAACTTGAGATTTCTCGTCTGCAAGTCAAGACACTTTTCTACTAAGCTAAGACCCTGTCAACATATTAAAGTAATTTCTACAGCTACCTTACAAGACACAAACATCTTCCATTTTTGGTCAAAGAAGGCAACTATGTTCCCCTAAATTGATCACTTATGGGATCGTCCTAAATTGATGCTATGGGAGGTTTCTCACGCACAAACACTTGTGTTTGAACTCTTATATTCAAAACCCCGCGAGGCCGCGCCTCAGTACATCGGCTCCCAAGTCCTGTGATCGAAGTCTGGGCAATTCGTCGAACACCTTACCCGCAAATCCGGAAAGCCCTCTGAATTTCCACAGCATGCTATCTGCTTCTTCAAGGCGTTTGCGATGCTACATAGCAGCAGCATCAGACCTATGCGCTAGCAATTTCGGCCCCAACTCGGCTCCAAATCGGTACCCGATTCACAAGCGTATGCTATTATCCACCCCACTTGGTAAGCCATTGTTTTCCACTATAAGTAGTTTCACCAGCAACTCTCGGGCCTCTTCTTTCTCAGAAGAAGACGCTATAGTGAATCAAATTCTTTCCGATTTAGAAAACGCCTCTCCATTACTCGAATCGTCATACAAAAAACGCGTCTTCCTGAGCTCCAAAGCGTTTAATCGTGTGCTGGTTGCAGCAGCCAGCGAAAGGAACGATCTTTCCCTTGTATCCCAACTTGTTCAAGTTGCAGTCGCGTCTCGTCGTCAACCCTTGAACTCAACTTGTTTTCTCACTGTCGCCAAGGCTTTTGCAAAGTCAGATGATTGTGGGGAGTTGCTCAGACTAACAAAGCAAGTCATGGAGATGACCTCTCCCAATATGACCATCATTAACAGGGTTCTCTTTGCCTTTGGTGAATGTGGAAAGATTGATAAAGCACTTCTGATCTTTGCCCAGATGAAAGCTTTGAATTTTGTACCAGATTTGTACACCCACAACACCATTTTGGAGATCTTGGGTTGTGCAGGTCGCATTGATGACATGCTGGGTCAGTTTGGGTCCATGAAAGAAGCTGGTATTGACCCAGATGTGGTTTCTTACAATGCTGTGTTGAACAATTTGAGGAAGCTTGGGAAATTCGATATTTGCTTGTTCTATTTCAGGGAAATGGGTGAAAATGGAGTTCAGCCAGATTTGCTGACTTATACAGCAATGATTGAGAGCCTGGGCCGATCAGGAAATGTTGATGAGTCACTGAGACTCTTCAGTGAGATGAAGGCGAGG